TACATAAAGGAAGAAGGAGAGAACCAACTTCAGGAAGTTGTCCTTTGACCCCCACTTCCACACAAGCAATCATAAACACACAAATAAGTGTTTAAAGCATTTTTTAAAAATTCACATCATGTTTACATATCCTGGCATCACTCCCTGGGTCTTAAAAACTCCCCTACAGCAAGGGGCTGCTGTTTAAATTTCTCTCTGTTATGGACCAACTTATTATCCCCAATGTCTATTTTAAATTCCTAATCCTCCAAGTGACTATATTTGGAGATAGGACTTTTAATGGGGGTAATTAACATTCCGTGAGGCCCCAAGAGCTATAATCCAACAGCACAGGTGTTCTTAAAAAGAAAGCACCAACACTCTCTCTCTCTCTCTCTCTCTCTCTCTCTCTCTCTCATTCACACACACACACACACACACACACACACACACACACACACACACACACACACACACACAAGACGAGACAAGCCTGTATGGACACGGTGGTCTGTGAGCCACAGAGGGAAACCACCAGGAATCAATGCTGCCCTATCACAACCTTAGATTGCAGCGTCCAGAACTGTGAAAAAAACAGCATCCCCGTTAACTCAAACAGCCCAGGCTTTGGCATCTTGTCATAGAGGCTGTGTAGATTAATATCGTGGAAATAGGAGTTTTGTTCTGTAGTAATAAACTCAAGGACTAGTGAAAGAGAAAGTCTTTAGCATTCAGCTCTGCAGAACTGGTCACTGGTGTAAGAAGGGCAAAAATGGCGGGTGTATTGATTTCTACAGGATACTGACTTCTAAAGTCCCTGATGGGGAGGAACTCCGGATTCAGACAGACACAGGCTTCACAGTCTCCATGCTTTACTAGCACAGTCACCACCCCAAGGTCTCCACCCTGCTGGTTCCGAACAGAGATCCTCATCTAATGGATATCCCGGGCTGTGACACTGTCTTTCTTCTGATTGTGGGATTAAGTTATGTGGCAGACTACTTCTCAACTCTGAGAGTCCTGGGACAAGCAGGTGCTGGCTGTCAACATTATATATGTATTCCTCCAGGAGGTAAAGGGGCAGTAGGGAATGCAGAGTTACTATTGGGTTATGGGTTCAAATCCAGATTCTGTTGTTTCTGATGATTCAATCCTCATTTTGAGAATGTCACAAGTTTCTAGGTAACAATAGAAATGGATACTATTTCAGGGACTGGGGAATTGGCTCAGTTAGTAATGTGTGTGCTGTGTGAGCCTGAAAACCTGGGTTCAATCGCTAGAACCCATTTCCAGATGTGGTAGTATATGTTTACAATGCCAGAACTATGGAGGCAGAGACCAGTGATCTCTGGGGTTTGGTGACCAGCCAGCCTAGTTTAATGAGTGTACCCCAAGGCAGCAGAAGACCCCATCTCAAAAACAAAACAAACAAAACTGAAGTGGATGGTATGTGAGGAACAGTACCCATGGTTGATCTCTGGCCTCCACACACTCCGACACACACGATCATGCACAGGCACACATATGTATGCCCCAACCATGTGTGCACACACAAAACCATCTGGCTTCTACTTCAAAAGCACTATAACAGTAATGAAACAAGTTGCCATGTATGTCCAGAGCCTACATTAGTCTTTGGAACTACTCAGCAATCTTCTGTTTTTTATTGATTGTTAGTCTGCTAGAATGTGCGATATGGACAGGGACTTTGCCTTGTCCTTAAATGTACACAGTGCCCAAACCAGTACTTCAGAAGCATGTGCCAAAGCCAGAATAAATACTTGTTATCTTCAAGTGTGAATGACAAAGGCATGTTGGGTTTCTGTTCCCAAACCAGAGGTCACTCTATTACTTGAAACCGAAATTTCTCCTGATCTCAGAGTCCTTAATTTTGTGTGTACTCCAGAAGTGCTGCCAAGTGACACCACTTTAATTGGCACAGGCTAATATGCAAAGTTCAGAGGGTCAGTTAACAACAGCCAGAGAAATACAGGCTCCACTACTAGTACAAGCAGACTTAACATTGTTATCATGAGAGAATTTTCATTTCAACAAACTACCACCCACATAACTAAACCAAACCGATTTCATCAGAAATTGGTGAGCTTGATTTTCAGAATTGGCTGTGTGGCTGTATGTAATCTAATGATCTAGCAAACAGTCCATGGTGCTCTCTGGAAACTTCTGCTAAAGGGCTAGAGAACTCTCCTTGCTCTGTGGCATGTCACTGCTGTGAGTGACTCTTCATGCCTCAAACCCTGGGAGAACCCCAATCAGACATCTGGAGTCTTTGGCACTTGCCTCCATAGGTCAGTTGGTGATAGAGATTCTTAGCCAGCTATTACCAAGAGTCCACTGTAGGAGACAGCATGGAAGTAATCAGAAATTTTATCCTAAATACCAATTTCTGTAAATTGCTTAAATCATGTAAGTCAACAGTGGGAGCATTTGTCGCCAAGGAAACCAACAGGGCAGTTTAATCCCCCACAAAATATACTCCTCTATCTCTACCAACATGGATTTTTTTCCCAGTTCTATTTATGGTATTCCTCCATGGCAAGAAATCTGATAAAGAATATGCTACTCACCAGACAGTGGGGGTACACACCTTTAATCCCAACACTTGGGAGGCAGAGGCAGGTGGATCTCTGTGAGTTCAAGGCCAGCCTGGTCTACAAAGTGAGTCCCAGGACAGTCAGAGCTGTTACACAGAGAAACCCTGTCTGGAAAAACAAACAAAAACAAAACAAACAAACAAACAAAAATAAAGTGCTACTCTCATGGTGGCAAATTTTGAGTCTGGTTCTCTGTCTTGAACACCATATTTCTATCAGGTCCCCACAGGCCTTGGAGAATAAGAACATCTACACAACTCTATCTTCCCACACAAACCTGCCAGCTCAGTTGGGATCAGGTCTAGCTTTATGCCAACACCATCTCCTGGCTACCACAATCCTGAGAGCCATGATATTATGGATGAGAGCCTGGTCTCTGGATGTAAATCCTAGCTTTAGAATTTACTAAAGGCAACTGTGGAATGTGCTATAGGCAAGGTTTCCACCCTCATTTCTTCATCTGTAAAATGAAGTTCTTCTTTATAAGCTTAGCATGAAAAATAAGAGATCATAAACAAAATGCTCAGTCACACATATAGTAGGTACCATTATTGTCAGCGGAACTAGTAGATTTCTGTCTACTGAGGACTGTTCTTGTATCTCTGTCCCTCCCTCCCTTCTCTTCCGCTCTCTTCTAGCTCATATCCATTGCATTTTGATTCTACATTGAGACATACTAGGCCATTGTCATTTCATCTGTTCCTTAAAGAGTTACCAAATACCTCCTAAGTCCGAAGAAGTCTACGATCAACTACCTTTGGTAGATCTCCCTGGTCCAAATAGCATTGTCCTGAGCAGGGCTTTCAAGAGTCTGGAAGCTCTGATACCTTTCTTTCTTTTTCAATTTCAGCTTCTAACAGGATCTGTCTTTCTGTCATTGTCAATTCTTTTCCTTCCCTCCCATCCCCATCCCCACCTTCCGACTTGCGTTTTTCTGAGGTAGACTGCTTCAGGCTCTAGACAATGCTTTTTCACAAACTCAGTCAAGTCCCCTCACTGGAATTAGTCCGTCCCACCCAAGAGCTTTGCTTCCATGCGGAACTGGGGCTAACAGTGTTGTCGTTCACGTCTGCCCATCTCTGCTCACATTCAGTCTTGCTGAATGGGATGACAGAATAGTCTTCCTAGCAGTTGCCTATCATCACCCCCTGTGTATCTCCACTTTACAAATTAGCATCCTGGTCCAGCTGAAAGAGCCCCAAAGAGCCTTCTCAACAGAAAGCACGCATGAATCATAGCAGCAACATCACTCTGGAGTGGCAGAAGAGAAGGAAATAAAGGTCAATGGATGCGGGCTCAATACTGGTGCTCTAAAGCCTTCTTTGTCTGTTTCGGAAAGAGAAGCTACTGCCAGTCACCTACTCAGGGGTGCAGAGCAAACCCCCAAATGACCCTCTCCAGCTGAATTTTTTTTGACTGAGGTTGCAGATTTCAAAGCTGATACTGACGGTGTGGCCTCAGAAGGTCCCAGAGAGGAGAATGCAGGTAGTGGAAAAGCACTTTATGGTGGATTCCATCTGCTGCCCATCAGCAGTGACCTAAGGGGTGGGACAGAGAGAGAACACAAACCAGGACTGATGCCCTGAAAATGACTGCCCATCTCCCTCAAATTTTTCCATATTCCCTAGAGATCCTTTGAATCATGAAACGAGTCTTTTAATCAGTCTTGCTAGTTCAGCATCTTTGGAAATTTGCCATTCAACTTGCACAAGGCAACAGGTCGGCGTGAACCTTGACGTTTGTCAGTTTATTGTCCTTTCTTATTCCAGAAGTCTGGAGTTGTCATAACACCCATATATTCTGCATTCAGGACCAAGGCAGTTAGGAGTGGTCAGCACACCTGAATGGGAGCTAGCAGCCAGGAGAAGGCTTTGCCACCATCTAGTATGTGTCTTCCTAGACTATAAAGGGGAAGGGCTATGACCTCTGCTTTGTACAACCAGCTTCCAGATCAAAGGTTGGGTTCAGGTGGAATTAATGGTTGTTAAATGAATGAATAAATCAATGCACCTTCCAGAAAGGTACTGGAAGTAGAACCAACTGGGAAGTTTTCACATGTGGGAAGTATGTTTTTCCTTTCTCAGTGTTTGTTACATTCACTGTGTACATTAGCCTGACTATGAAGTCAGATTTAGCTCTGAAATTTAGGAAATGGAGTTCTTTCTGGGTCTGGGACTATATAGGAGGAGCACATAGTAAGAAGATTTACTGAAGTCAGATACTTAATCTCACTCAGCAGGGGCATCCCAACTCCTGTCAGGAAATACCCATCTCAGGGGCAGGTTGGGAGACTTACTCTTCAGTGCTCCTGCACCCTGGAGCCGAGTTACAGAGTAACCTGAAAACAAAGCTCCAGAATTCACCCCACTAATAAACCAGAGCAAAGTCCACTACGAATTCCATGGAGAAGTGCCGAGCAAAGGCCAGAAGGGCAGGAGAGGACTACCACAGACCAGAGACGGTGGCCTGTCCTAAGCCAGGATCCCTGTGCCAGCCCCGGCTGTAGGGGGCCATGAGCTCCGTGCTGTCAACCTTCTTGCAAGAGCTCCCAGGCCCGTTCCTAGTCCTGGGGATCTTCCTGCCCGTGACTTTGCTGCTTTTCCTCCTGATTGCCTACTTCAGGATCAAGCTGATGGCAGGTGAGTGTGAAGCCTCGCAAGGAAGGACTCATTCTTAAAACACACCAAAGTTCCAGGAAACCAGGGAAACCTAGCTTTTTGATTGTCAGATATTTCTCCCCCAGACCTTCCTTAAGAGCCTCGATGAACTGGACAAAGTTTGATACTTTCAACTCCATGGGTGATGAGGCATGTAGTGTTTGACCACTTGCTATAGGGACTTCTCTGTAGTTCCTGGTAGACACACAACAGCAAGTCAGCAAATTGGACATAGGGTTGCTTCTTTGTCCCAAGGCAACAGATTCATAAGCATTAAGCTGTTCATGGTCTGCCTCTCCTATGTCACTGGTGTGTATGTATGCCATAGATCTTGTAAGGACTACTGTCAGTCACATATACGCTGGGTTCTCACTGAAACTGAGTGCCATTGGGAGAAGTTAAAGGATTTGGATGTCACACCCGGGAACTTGAGTCCATTGTATCATTCTTGCCTCTCACTTCTGCTGCTTCATTGACAAGATAAACTTTCACAACCTCAGAGATGTATTAACCATGAAATGAGACACAGAGCAGGTCAACACAGTCTCACAGTACATACACACCCATCTGCATGGCTCTGCATGTGTGTGTGTGTGTGTATGCATATATACATATATATGATATATACATATGCATTTTATATATGCATATAAATGATACATGATGTATATGTACATATACACGAATGTATATGCATATATACACACAATATGTGTGCATAAATAAGTATATATATGTACACACATATATACACATACACACCACATACACACATGGTCATTTACATATGCACACAATATCCTCAGCCACTAAACTTCTACATAAGAAATGTTCCAAGCATTTTGTGGTCAGTGTTTAGCCAATGCAAAACACTAGATACTGGACTAGAGCAAAAACTTCCCATAAAACTATAGTATTGCTGTACAAAAAAAAATAATCTTGGCATTGGTGGCACACGCCTTTAATCCCAGTACTCGGGAGGCAGAGGCAGGGTGGATCTCTGTGAGTTCGAGGCCAGCCTGGTCTACACAGCGAGTTCCAGGACAGCCTCCAAGACCATACAGAGAAACCCTATCTAAAAAAAAAAAAAAAGGTAAAATATATTCAGAAGCTTAAGGTGATCTGCCATGGGCATGTGGCTCCTGGATTGAGCTTGGGTAACAGAATTTAAAGGAGCTAGACTGTGTTTTAAGAGGTTCCATGTTGATTTGGCTTTCAGTAAATATTAGATGCCATAAAGGTTAACACTCATTTTAGTAACAACACTAAAAATCAACCTCCTTCTTAATTTGGATGGTTTCATACTAAGCTACTAAAAACACAAATTTGAAAGCAGGCCATGGTTGTACACAGCTGTAATTCTAGCACTCAGGAAACTGAGGCAGGAGGTTTCCTTAAATTTGAGTTAAGCCTGCACTACAGTGTGAGACCCTGTTTTAAAACACATGCCTTTAATCCCAGCACTCAGGAGGCAGAGGCAGGCCGATCTCTTGAGTTTGAGGCTAGCCCAATCTACAGATTATGTTACACAACAGCCGAGGTTACACAGAGAAACCCTGTCTTGAAAAACAAGCAAATGGAAAGTCCCTGCTCTTCTACAAAAACTTTCCAAGTTCAAGCAATACCTTCCTGTACGCTACTAAGTAATCACAACTGGTGCCAGCAACAGAACAATTAGGGACACTTGTGTCTAAGATGATATTTAGAATACAGAGAACATAGATTGAGTTATAGAATCCTGCTTCCCATCAGTGCCTACTGGAGAACCTTCCAGCACAGTGGTCCTCAACCTTCCTAATGCTGCAACTCTTTAGTACAATTCTTCATGATGTGGTGACCCCAACCATTACATTATTTTTGTTGCTACTTCATAACTGTACTTTTGCCACTGTTATGAATGGTGATGTAAATATCTGTGCTTTCCTGATGGTTTTAGGTGACCCCTGTGAAAGTGTTGTGACCCACAGGTTGAGAAGCACTGCTGTAGGCTTTCATTTATGTCTCAATTTTACAAACGGCTCTCATGCAGGGTGACTAAGGGATCGTCCCTGTGTTCTACATGGACCTATGCGACAAATCCTTTTCTTTATGGAGTTAGTCACACCCTTTGCTGTCCCCAAGATCAGTCTTCTGGAAATTCTGCACCTAGATGTTTAAGACTCCCAAGCTTTGGAAAAACTCCAAAACAAGGAAAGAATTGAAGATCAAGACTCCCATACCTTCACAGCAGGGTTTCTTTAGCCTTGCACATTGACTCACTGGCCAGGGGTGCAAACATTTGTCCGCGGAAGACCCTTCACAGTCATGCAGTGACCACTGCCAGTCACAGATGCCCCTGGTTCCCACTAACCCTGGGAAATAGGAGTGGGTGTCAGCCAAGCACTTTACATTCTTCACATACTTAAGTTTAATCTCCAGCTGTTTCTTTAGCAAGATAAAATCTAGTGTCTCAAAAAATGCATTAAGTACGAAATAAGGCAAAAAGGTCAGAAGAGTTTCTTGGATTTCAGTCTCCCAGTGGCCTCTGCTCAACAGTTATAAATGATTGGACTATTCTGTGGGACATTTGGTTATCTGGGACAGTCTACAAAAAGTAAACAGCTCGACTTTACCTCTTTTCTTATCCCTGGGAAAATATCTATTAACATGAAAAACATAAATGAGTACCCAGTATTTTAAGTATTTAGATAATTCTGAGATCTAAACAAATCAGTCATACTCCTTTAGAACGCTCTAGAAAAGCCAACCTGCGTTTAGAAGTGTGACCAGGCATCCCTGAGGATTGGTGCAGGGCCAATACAAAGTGTTTGCTTAGTTAGGGGTTGCATTGCCATGATGAAACATCACGATCAAAAGCACCATGGAGATAAAGAGTTTATCTGGCTTACATATCCTGTATCACGGTCCATTAAGGGAAGGAACAGCAGGAACTAAAACTGGGTAGGAATCTGGAGGCATAAGCTGATGTAGAGGCCATGGAGGGGTGTTGCTTACTGGCTTGCTCCTACATTCTTATAAAAGCCAGGACCTCCAGCCCAGGGGTGGCACTGTCCACAATGAGCTGGGCCCTCAAACATCAATCACTAATTTAAAAAATGCCCTACAGGTTTCCTATAGACTAATCCTGGAAGCATTTCTCAACTGAGATTCCCTTCTCTCAGATGACAGTAGTTTGTGTCAAACTGACTCAAAAAGAAAAAATAGCCAGGACACTGCTGTTGATCACAATGCTTGGTCTAGAACTGACAGATGTGTACATATCACTATGACTGTTGTATAGTGACCTCCACCTGCCCTCAGAGCATCCCTACCTAGTTAATCTGTCTGGAGATCAAGTCACAATAAAAGCTCTCTAACAACATTTGTAACTCAACAGTACTGGGAAGTGATGTTGAAGGATGTGATGGGAACAGAATAACTCAGTCTTCCTTCTCTCTCCAGTCACCCCTCCAAGTGATATGATATGCTAATGAGCTTGTCTGAATTCCTAGATTTTTCTCATGCACGGTCTGCTCCTTCCCTCGTAAAATGTTTTACCCTTTGCAGCATAAGATTGAACCCAGGGGGCAGTAACACTGGAAGCCTCATATAACGGGGCTGTGAATGATATCCTGTAAACAAGTTTAAAGCTTGCTCCAAACATACATCCTACCTCTAGATAGCAACCAGCTGTCAGCCATTCAACAAGTATTTGTGAATCTACTTGAGGCAGTTTTCTCAAGTTTGTGACTGAACAGCACAGACTGAGTGACTTATTTTTAAGAAATGAAACTTATTTCTTATAGTTCTGAAGACCAGGAAATCCAAGGTCAAGTGGGACTAACCCATGGTCTAGGCAGCACATAGTAGGAGGGTTTATCTAAAAGACTGAGAAAGAGTTTCTCTATGTAGTTTTGGCTGTCCTGGAACTGGCTCTATAGACCAGGCTAGCCTTGAACTCACAGAGATCCACCTGCCCCTAGGATTAAAAGCGTGCACTACCAACACTTGGCTCACAGTTCTGCCCTTAAAAGCCCCATCTGGGCTTAGAGCTTTAGAAGCTTACAATGGGTGTGAAATTTCAGGGAGCTTTGCTTGCAAATCAAATTCCAGTACTATTGTGTACTATGGCTTATCCTAGCAGTGGGACAGACTTTCACTATAAACATTTGGGACTAAGAGGATTTAGAAAGCTACAAACTTCGTCAGAAAAAAAAATTAATCCAACATCAGATACACAAATCTGTATGTTTCTGATCTTGGCCTCAGACCAAGTTAAGGCTAAAATGCTGGGGATTCCTTCCAGACTAGTGCTTCATTCTCTGACCCTCAGATCAAGCTTTATTTGTGCAAGAAAGATACCACCACACTAAACTGCTCTCCTTGAACCTAGCCAAGGCTGAACCCTGACTTTTTACTATAAGTCTTTTCAAAAATGTCAAAGCTGAGAACTCTCGCCAGGCAGGATCTTCTAAACACCCAAGGGACACCCCCAGTGATGGACTAAGCCACCTTCTCCATTGTCACCTTCTTTTGCTGGCTCTCAATGAAGTGTCTCCAGGCTGTAGGCTGTAGGTAGGGGAAGCACGATTTACTTCAGTAGAACAATTCTGTGCATCAGTTACTTAACACAATGGAGGTCTGTTAAAACTGTAGTTTCTGTGGTCATTTCCTATGGGTGTATGGCATTATTATCTCTTCAGTTAAGGGACAAATGAGATCCCTTGGCCCCAAATTAAAACATTGCCGGTTTTATCTATTTAGCAGCATCCACCTAAAAATTGTAAACGTATGGGCAAATGTCACATAGCTAATCTCCTACTCAGGGCTACAGCAAGTGTAATCATTTCTGTTTCGTTTCTGTGAAGAGAAGGACATTGACAGATGAACTGATGTGTTCACAGAACCCCCAAGCCCTGTATCTCAAAACAGAGCACCAGCTTGTGGGCTTCATGTATCCTAATGTCAAGCAGAGCATCACTCTTAGATATGATGGGAAGCGAGGGGAGGTAATGTCATCATTCAACATTAATCCCTACTTCTCAAGCCTTGAGAGGTAATGTTGCATGGAAATTTAATTAGTATGTAGAGAACATCAATTTTCTCACAAAGGAAGAAAGAAAATTCTCTAACATCCTGCATACTTTAGTCTGTCATTTGGCCTGAGAAACAGTTCTTGGGGCAGAGGAATGAGTCTTAAACCTTTCTAGAAATAGCCAAACCCTCCATCATCACTGCCATGAACATTTTTCAGGCCCTAGGGTTCAAGCTGTGGTCTTCATTTCTCTCCAGTATTCCAAAATCTCTACCTCTAGCGCAACCCACCTTCCCAAGTATCATAACCCTGGCCAAGAACAAACTGTGCTCTAGAACCCATAGTATCAAAAGTAACCACTTTACTGAAGTGTATCTGTCGAATGCTTAAACATCTAGATATAAAATAAGGAAAGCTAACACTGGATCAGGTTGTAACCTTCAATAGCTACGAATTATTAAAAAAAAAAAGACAAGTAATATCTTGAGAAACACATGTGACTAAAGCATCTTTTACTGAACTTCATGCCTAGATTTGAGTTCTCTGGAAAGAGCAAAGTAACCTGAGTCAGGACAGTGAGATTGCTAAAATTCTGGACTACAGGGGATTACTATTAGCATTTGAGTCTGGAATGTGACTTCTCAGCTTAATTTAAAACTTCAGCATCCTCATCTGTAAGACAGAAACAAGAACAGCAGGGTTCAGCTACAGCATCAGTGTGGAAAATGAGCAGCTATAGAGTGTAGGGTTTTTGTTTTTTTGTTTTTTTAACTCTTTGGGGACCTACCCCCAGCTCCCAAATAAATGTTCAGAGACTTACTTAAGACTTTGCCTGGCCTTAGTTTGGCTTGTTTCCAGCCAGCTTTTCTAACTTAAATTATCCCATTTCTCTTTAACTACTTTTTGCTTCTGGGTTTTTTACTTTATTTTACATTATCATTCTTTCCTGTGGCTGGCCCCTGATGTCCTCCTCTCAATCCTCCCTCTTCCCCAGATTTCTCCTCCTGTTTTTTCTTTCTGCATAAAAGAGCTGCCGTTCAGCTCTTTATTAGACCAGTCGGATGATTTAGATAGGCAAGGTAACAGAGAGTTAAGCAAATACATTAAACAACTATTCCACAGTATAAATGAATGTAACACATCTCCAACTAATATCCCACAACAGAGGTGTTCCAAACCATTCCCATCCTGAAAAATGATAAACTACTATTATTCCTGCTGGTTTATAAACTCTGAAAGAATCTCCATTTGTGTCATTATATGTGTCACTAAAATTGACTTAGAATTAAGCCACCCTAGGTGACTTACATGGAAGGCCCAGACAAGATGTAAACCCTGGCTGTCTGGCTCCAGAGCTAGTTTTCTTAGCCCACACAACACCAGACAGGTTTCTTATCAGCTAATGGGCCCAGGCAAATAAACACACTACCAAGTTGAAAAGCAACTGTGGGAAATCTGTAAACAAGGGAAGAATGTATGCAAGAGCTTTGGGTGGGTTGATCTTTTAATATAAAAGAAATATAAACTATATCTAATGATGGCAATTTCTTTCACATAAATATCCACCCCAAGCCAGGGAGATTCTTCACCCATGACCCAACAGAGAAAAATCTTAACTGCTTACAGAATTTTCCATAACAAACTCAAGTATTTCTTAAAGCTACCTACTTAATTCCTCTCTGCAATCCTCCCTAATAGATTCCTGTGATTAATATGATAGCTTAATTGCAAACTGCTTTTGGAGAGAGGTGAGTTATTTCACTTCTCTTATTTCTTATTTCTGGCTAGATGAGTCACTACAGCTCGCCAAGCTTGTTCTCATCCTGGATCTCTGGTTTTTGTTTGTTCTTTTAGTTCTCTCCCTTCAGTGTCTTATTTGGGCCACACACTTTCAGCTCAGCAATGTATATCCTTGTCCATCATTTAAAGCACTTCTTACACAGGTGAGGAAGAAATTACTACTACTTCAATGAGTTCATAGTCTAAACCAGAGGTCATCTCAAAGCAGAATTTTTAAATAGCAAATCATATATGTGGAAAAGCAATGTAACCCAGGAGCTAGAAGTACAGACTCTAAAGTCAGGCTGCCTGGTATCAAATCTTGAATCCATCCATTTCTGTAGTCTTGGGAAGAACTGCTTTATCATGGTGTGTCCCAGGTTGGTCACCCATAAATCAAGAAGAGATAAACTTAAGTCAGTACAAGAGTCAGCATGCAACTTAAGTCACTACACGAATTAGGCACATGCAAAGTTAGCACTGTGTATCTGGCACATAACTGCTGAACAAACGTTACTTATTCAATCTTGTGGCTCATATATCACAGGGCATGTCCTCATTTGAGCATATGAAGCATTTCCTAAGTATCTAAGCAGGTAGGAAGTGTTTCCTAGGTGCATGGTAAAGGATTGATGGCATAGCTTGATGTGGATACCAAGAGTGTTGTGAAGGTCAATTCCATAAGCGTGGCATTAGTAAGTGATGTCGGTGGCTGTGTGTGTGTGTAAGGGGGTTGTTTGGTGTACCAGGAACACAGAGATCTCAAGGTTAAAATCGAATTTGGCTATGGACAGACACACTAGCTGAAGATAGATGAGCAATGAGAAGGCCGTATGCAAGGCAAGCAGGTAGGAGTAAGGCTGTGATATGAGTGGTAGGTAAGGAGCTGTGCTGATGCTACTGAGAGAGGAAACTGGGGAATGGGAACTGCCACTGGATTTAGTAAATTGGAGTAAGTAGGATGCCACTTAAGACTTTTAATATTTTAGCAGAACAATTTTTATCTAAATATTTTTAAGAGTTTAGTGAATTCATAGACTCTGAAGAGTTGAAAGCATTGCCAGTAAAAGATGCCCAAAGTTTAATGTCCAAAGGGAACACAGAGAATAAGTTGACTTGTCTAAGGATGACATATAGTCAAGTATTTTGGGAAAGGAGGAAGGATAGAAACCATGTTTTTCTAATTCCTATACATCCCAGCTCTTGGCCTACACAAATGCTTAATGAAGGTTTCCCAAATATGAGAATCTAAACATCTGTGAAATAGTATTCTTGCATGCTAATGATCCCTAATACAGTGGCCATCTGTCCTAACAAGGGACATTCTTTTGAAGTGGCTGAGGTGGGCCAGAGATATGGCCCAGTCATTAAAGGTATTTGCCACCAAATTGATGATCTGAGATCAATTCCTGGAACCTAGCTGGTGGAGGGTGAGAACAGACTAGTTCAAGCTCTCTGACCTCCACATGTGCTGTTCCATGTTCATGAATACACACAGATAGGATATCAATGTAATTTTTAAAAAAGGAATATGAAGAGGTGAGGTCCCACAGTAGAGACCCAGTCTTCTGTAACCCACAGAGCTGCCAGTCAGAAATTCTGGCCAGTGGCTTCTAAGGGACTCTGAATGGTCCAAAGCACTCAGGTGTGTACAAATTAACCAATATTTTTCTTTTCAGTTGATGAAGAACTGTCCCAAATTTCTGATCGCCAAAACAAGTATGGTTCTTCCCCACACAGGCGAATGAGACGAAGATGACTGTTGGGATGACTCCGTGGCCAGATCGCCGTGAATTTCTAAAAGCCACAGAGAGCAGTGGTCAACAGAACCACGGGGAAATGAGAAAGAACAGTGGATGCCCCAGCTACTATCAGAAGACTTCTGTGTGATCTGGTTAATGGCATTTCTTCAGAAAGTACCAAGGACTTACATTTTTCTTTAATGTGCTCAGTGCATGAGGCTCATTATGAGTTTCTTTTGTTGTGACTTTATTTACTTGGGGGCAGACGTTTTTAAAATAAAATTCCTACACCTCATCATATCACTCTACGGAAGCTCACATAACTATGCCTTTAAGGGTGAGGAAACCCTGAGAGAAATCAAAACAAATAGCAAAAGATGGTGCCTGAAGGAAGTCCCATGGATTCTCTACACAAGAATCCTTCCATTTGGCCCTTTAACCGCTGATACATGGTAGTTTCAGACATCATTCAAGACCTTAATGTCTCTCCTCTTCCCAACTGCCTTACATCATCTCAGTGGCATCTGTGACAAACAAGTGGAGTCTCAATATTAGGTATGGGTCACTCAACAACACAGCTCTCCTCATGCTGGAGATATAGATGAGGGGGTATCTGGAAGGGAAGAAAAAGCAAGTGTTCACCTAGTTCTCCAGGAGAATAATTCAAGTTTTTTTTAGTAAAACCCAAACACCAGGGAGCTACTTCTAAATAGAAAGCCCACCATTTTACTAGCAGAATTCTTATCATTCAGTGGGCTCTAAAGAACATAGATTACTGAAAAAGCATTTAATAACTGAAAAAGTATTTAATTCAAGGTGGCACTACTGTGTTCGCCATACTTTTCTAGTTAATAGCAACAAAAGGTTCAGTACACCCTAACCCTGGCTATATTCCAACATTTGCACATGACTCCACTGGGCTTTGAGTGGGTTACTTAAGAAACAGTCACAGTCATACAAGCATATAAGACTGTAATGATCAAAAGTCAGAATGTCTCACTGTGGCCTATTATTTCCTGACTCTTCCTTTCAGCCCCACCCTGGAATTCTTCACTGGCATCCAGTGAGCTTTCTGGAGGTACTTCTTGAGAAATTTAACTCTCACTTCAACTGAAGACATTCATCTCTCCATTTTAATAGCACTCAAGTACATTGAGAATGTCTGTTGGGTCTTTCAGAGTTGGGTAATTCCTAAGTGTTAATGCCATATGGAAGAAATAACACTATTCTCTCAGTTCTGGGAAGGATCTCTTTTTAGCCCCTGGTGGAAGCAGTTTGTGTAAAAATGCTATCTTCAACAGGAGGTGTGAAAGGACACAGCAGAGTCCCATCTTGGTCAGCTGCCAGCCAAATCCTCAGCCATCACAGTTTGCTACCTCTTCCTCCAGAAACAGGAGCATCCAAATCTGAACGTTGGCTTTGGTGGATACCTGACCACTAACTTGACTACTGTGGTAACAGATGAGCTTGGAATACACATTTTATACAGTAAGCATAAATACACAGCCAAAGGATGACTTTGTGTTCCTGAACACAATGACAGCAAAGAATTAGCAAAGCCAAATATGTGTACATTTTTATTAAGAACACAGACATGTTAGCTGTCAAGAAAAGTCTCAAGGGTTTTATTACCAACTCAGCAAAGGCTCTGCTAACAATGCCACCAAATCTCCTACTGAGCATAGTCAAGAGCTGCAGAGTCCCCCCCTTTGCTCTCTGCATGCTCAAATATCAGTTTAGATCTAGTTTAGTCACCCTTGCGTTTGCCAGGTTCTAGCCCAGGCCATAGTCTCCCTATACCCTCCAAAGTGAGTTCCAACTTATGCTTTGAATTCTTTCCCCAGGGAGTCACATCTATCCCACACCCGCAAATGTTCTCACCCCCAGCATTTCCCAACCTCTTTTCTGTTCCCCTCTAACCTATTGCTAATATCCCTTTCTACTATCTAAAAAGAAGTATCCAGTAGGGATAACATTTCTCCAACTCCAGTCCTTCAATAAAACACTTCAACGGGTATTTTAAGCACCTTCACATGGCTCTTATTAGTCAATGAAAATAAGGATTCTTACAGAGGTATGAAAGCTTTTGGGCATGGGGTTTTCTATATTATATGGTTGAGGACTCTCTAAGTAGACAGGATGGCTTTGAACTCATCATCTTTCTGCCTCAGTCCCAGGAAGCGCCAGGATTATAGGCACAATTCATCACACCCAGCTTTAAGTCTATGTTAGTTTTTCACTGAATTAGTAACTTGGCAGTTTGGGGTTGCCCAAGATGATCTTTCAAAGGCTTCCAGAAATGGACTGCAAGTCCATGGCTATCCCACATCCTGAACCTAGTTGGAAGACAGAAAGAAAATTAAGCATGGAGGGGTACAATTCATGTTCTCTGAAATAGTATTTGCAATCTCTTAACCATAAAAGTTAATCTTTTCAGGGATTTCAGTACTTTCCAGAACAGTCAAGAACAGGGTTTTCTTGGTATCTCATGTTCTCTGGCAAAAGTAAACCTAAAACTCAGAATTCATACCTTCCAACTGTCAGGATTTGCAAATGTTCACCACGTTTCAGGTTAAAATTTCAAAGCATGCTCTACAATGTTACGGATCATGAGTTGAGCACTCAGTCCTCTCTATTTTGAAGAGAGGTAGAGCCCTGAGGTGGGTGGCCCTGGTTGGCAGAAGTGAAACTTTTTGGGTGGGGGTTTGAAAGTTATACCTGTCCATGGTCCTGCTTCTTATTTACGCATTATGAGATGACTGCCACACACTCCTGCTTGCAACCTGCTCCCCCATGCCTCCCTCACTGTGAAGGTCTGCAACTCTCTGAACCAGTAAGACAAAAGAAACTTTCCCCTTCAGGTTCTGAGTTTCCTGTGCATATCCTAGCATGAATGATCCAAAAGAGAGCGGGACAGGAAGCACACACTCTAAAGGTTTGTATTTATAATAAGATTCAGGATCTAAAAATATTCAGGGTTAGGGTTAGGGTTATCCACTTTTGTGCTTACTCTGCCATCTGGCCCGGTTTACAAGTGAGATGAAGACACTGTGAGAATAGAATCCCTTGGTCAGAAGTACAAAGTATTTAAAAAGCCTATACTGATGTTCCCACAAGGCGTAATCATCAATACTGTTTCAAGTGGTTCTTTGGGCACTGTGACTCAAGCATGCTCTTTGCTCCAGGACCCCTGTTCATGCTTCCTCCACAAAATAAAACTGATCCCACACACTGACAGCATTGCCTAGCCCACAGGTGCTGTAGAAGCGCTTTTTATTATTGTACGTACAAAAGGAAAGAGTTCTTACCCCCATCAATAGGTGATTTTTAAATGAGCTCTATAATACTAACTTTCTCATGGAAAGTATATGTACAGAAGCACATTTGGTTTCATAATATTCCCAAAGCTTGGCTAGCTGAGAGAGCCTTCTCCAGAGAGTTGTTTTTGTACAATTATAGAGAACGTGAGAAAGGCCTTTCACAAGTTGAGACATAATTTAGCGGGAACAGATCTCGAAGAAGACAGCTTTGCAAATTATATTTCCTGTGCTCATTTTAAATGACTACATAAAGAAATTCTATATAACATTTCAAATAGATTGTACTCTGTTGACCATTTTTCTGTGTAATGTTTAAAAGACAACTAAGCCCATAACGTGATATGCCTTGGTGAAAGCATTCCAGTACCCGAGCAAGCCTGCTCCATCAGATACATGAAGACACAGTGGACATAAAATAAAGTGGGACACAAAGCATGGCAGCAAGGCTCAAATGGTGCAGTGGAAAAACTCCTGAAAGCACACCAATAAAGAAGGACAGATCTCCCTTGCAGAATTCAAACAAGCTGGAGCACCATTTAGCCAGGAGCAAGGACTCTTTCCACAACACTTTCACCATTTCAGATCACTGATGCTAGTAGCAGCAACAAATTAAAACAAACAAACAAAACCCAGAGCTTAGCCACTCTTAAAATGCCATTAGGTATTTTTACAAAATATTCCATTTTCTGATGGAAAAACAGCATCCTCGTTTATTTCTTTTATGTTTATAAAAAGAGAAGTGACACGTTTTTAGAATAAACAAACTTTTATTTTATAACAGTATTACATAAAGCAAAATACCATTTAATACAACTTGAAGCTGCTATAAATCTAATCTGGCACTGTAACTATACAGTCAAAAAGCAAATGGAAAACATTTTCAATACAGTTAATAAGTCCCTATCAGGTCTCTGGCTGGCATCAGCTTTAAATGGTATAGCTTTCATATAACCAACGAAACCCCACCACTGCCCCAACCCTCTTCTCCCCAGCATCTTCAAACCTTTGAGTCATCAAACTATCTTAAAGAGATATACCTGCTCAGTAACAAAAGGTCAGTTTTACATGTAGACAAAGAAGTTTAATACAAAGCAAGTACACTACTCAAGAGTTCAAATAATGGGAAGTATTGAAACTGGAAAGGTTAAGAAAGAAAGCACTAAGGCTTTAAGCTGCCTGATTCTCTTTTAGTAGGGAAGGGGCAGGGCACGTTTTGTGGTTCTCCTGTTCTGGAATGCTGTCGCGAAGCATATGTCTGAGAAGTGCTGCTGCACTGTGAGCGGCGGTCTCTCAACACAGTGCTTGGTCAGTGAGCTTCGTAATTCTCCAGTCTGGAGAGTCTCTGACTCTAAAATACAAAGTCACAGGACTGGAGGAAAGTCAATGGGTTCAATATAAAAATCATCCATAGTGAAGTTCCCAAATGTTAGAAAAGTTTCAAGATGCAAGAAATGCATTTAATTGGTAGTAATATGTTCTCATGCAGTATATCTACTGCAAATTGAACAATGTAAATGTAGACTGTAAGAGTACAAGGGAAACAATCTTGAAGAATGAAAATCACTGTCTAAATTAGTCACAGAGTTTCCTCTCCACACAACAGCACCTGTTCAAGTGAACAGCACCGTACCAGCCAAGGCTGGCTTTGTTCACTGTCATTTGAGCAAATGAGTCATAAAAAGCAGGTAGGAAAAGGAAACCAATACAAAACCCTTAACAACAACAACAAAAAAAAAAACCAAAGAATTTAAAAAGAGAGAGAAAGAAAAGAGGAAGCATGAATATTTAGAAGTGGTTATAAAACAAATAATGTATTAGAAATGCATGGGAATAGTATGGACCAGAGCTGTTAAGGTAAGGTTTGGTGTTGGCATTTTAATTCTTCAGGCTTCTGGTCAATGTTACCAGTTGTAGCACAAATTTGCTGGAGTAGTGGTGTGGCGTTAAGACTTGGAATGGTCAAAGTTCTTCAGATTCA